CCCCAAAACCCCAAAACCCCATTGGTGTAGATTAATAGGTGTTGTTTTATTTAAAAGAAAATAAACTAAATTATTAAATTCGATAAAATATTAGAAATGCAAGTAGGTTGTGCAAGTAACGATCCAAGAGACTATCCTTCACTTTTCTAGTAAATCAATTGCACAATAATTTCAACTTCAGAGAGCATGATAATTACAAAAGGCATATTAAGAATATTTTAGAAGTAAAGGCTTTGGTTGACAACAAGAGACCAGCAAAGCAGCCACATATGAGGTAAAAAGATTTCAAAGAATAGCTCTTTCGGAAAAGAGAGATGTAGATCGAGAACAATCATCTCGTTGCTAAGATTCTTCAAGTCAAAGTATGTATTTTATGAATAATTCATCTATATCCATAGTCTACTAATCCTATAGCTGAGGAACGTAGAAAAGACACTTCATTTTATATGAGCAACAATTCTAAGCAGTTTAAAGTCAAAGATAATGGACAGTCATACTCACCCACACGCAGATCACTTAACTCACTTAACTTCATTCAAAGAAAGAATAATCTTGAAAAGATCATGCAGGAAAACATCTATATGATGAAAAAGATACATTTCGCTTAGCCATCAGTTTAGTATACAGAGCATCTTCAGCATTAGCGAGAAGTTAAGAAGCTAAAGAAGTTGGTACAGTATAATTCACTAAGATAATCAATGATAACTTCCGTTAGAAACTTCTTCGTAAGTATTATGATGGATTTTTAGTATTCATTTCCTCCTTTACTATTAAATCTAAATGAAGTATATAGAGTGGATATGAGAATATGAACAGCTTAGATGATAGAGCCATGAAAAGATTAAAGACTGCCTAGTCATAAATGACTAGCAACGGTATGTTTCTCGACCACTAGCATAGAGTGAGCTCAGTGCCATTAAGCAGAAGGAAAAAGAGAAGATTGATCTAATCATTAGATGTAACTTCTAATAATGATTAGCAAAGATAAACAGAGGGAGAAAGTCCCTTGATTCTTATAAATCAAGCTAATGTATTACCTCAGATTAGCAATAACGAAAACAATATGAGCTAATTGCAAAACTAAGAGAACACAGAAAATTAACTATAGTACTAGCAGTACTAAGATGGAATGTAAATGAATCAAACAGTAATTTAAAGTCATCCTTATCAAAACACATTCGCTCAGTATGGAGCTTACAATATAACTTCACAAGGTACAGTGAGTAATATCACTGGCAGTGGACATATTAGACCAGTTTCTGCTACTTTAAGTTAAATTAAATATTGGAAGTAAATGCAGTCCTTATAAAATAGTGGGGGCCCCTTTGCTACTTTTAACTAATCATAAAAGAAGATCAAAGCTGTACTGCGGTAAAGCCAGAATGGACTTTAGAATGTGAACAAATCACAGTCATAAATTGAGTAACAGCTCAATGGATAAGATAAAAGTAATTTATTGAGCGAGAGAGAAGAAAAAGAGGAATAAGTGCAATAATAATAATAAGTGCAAAATCAAGACTAAGATTACAATGAGTAGAATTAATAACAGCAACAGTAGTCTTTAAGTAATTTGAATCCGCTCGTAACTCAATCAAACAATGATGGTAAAGAAATGCTATAAGAGGCAAAATAACATCTGTATGTAGATGGAATTTTTTAGGCTAATTAAGACTAGACTAAGAATTCACAATAAAATAGAATGCAAGAGATAAATGGCAATAACTAAATCTAAGAAAACAATGAAGAGGCCTAAAATGATTAGCAATAAGTAAAGAAACAGAAAAAGTAAAAGAAACATAAAAAAACTAAAAGCAATTAGATTCCGATGGACCAATACTAACCAAAAATAAAAAAGAAGATGATGTTTTTCTGAGAATTGTCACGATAAATATTATCTACTCTTTAATTGTTTAAACTATATAAACTTATTTATCTCTGTATATTTAATATATTATTCTGAAAATAAAAATTCTACTATATTTTATATATAGTTTTCGAGGGGTTTTGGGGTTTTGGGGAGATCGGAAGAGCACACGTC